TAAAGAATTAAAAAAAAACAGAACCAAATTTTAAGTATAAAAGAATGCATTTTTCAATATTCCATGTCCATCACATAGTTTTTTAATTTAAAGCGATAGAAATCATTTTCTTCGTCTTTAATATTGACCAGCTACCCTAAATATGAATCCTTCTATTTTTTAATCCTGATAAAGGTGATTACCTTAAAAATGCCTTTTATAAATATGTAAATATGCTTATAAATTTCATTTAACGGTTTTGCATAATCTAAATATGTTTAAACGGGATCTAAAAGTTTTAGCAAATTTTTTAAACTGTGTCATACTTGTATATATAGTAAAAAGTATATTATAAAATATACTGACGATTTCTAAGATAAGAGAAGAGCATGTGCGAAAAATGTGGTGTTACGAAATGAAACGAGACCTCCCGAAATAGAAATGTCGCAGGTTCCTCTTATGAATATTGATGCACTGTAAAAACCCACTACCCGTTGAAAGCTTTGTTACGTCTCCAAACTATGAATATTGATATCAAAACAAAAAAAAATTGTTGAAATATGCAAATTTATTATTTAAATTTATTTAACTTCCTGTAGGTAGTAAATACAATAATGGGTCTTGATAATTTGGCTACTTAAGAAGTAGCCAAATTATCAAGACGCCCCTTATCACACTCTTAAAGGATCATTTCTGGTATAAAGACTATCTTATGTCCTTTTCTGGGCCACAAACTATCTCTATACCAAATTTCATCAAAATCATGTTGGTGGTTTAAGCGTGAACATGTAACAGACAGACAGATAGACATACTTTCGCATTCATAATATTTGTATTGATGTCAATTTATAACAAAATTAACGTTTTGTCATTAACTTACATTAAATTATAAGCTTAAGTATCTAGTTTTTTAGTATATACCCAATACTGGTAACTTAATGTCCAAAGAGTGCTCGGAAAAGCATAATTTCGATCATCACTTTTCTTTTCCTAAGTGGTGCTTCTTTTCTGTCTTAGCAAAAAAAACATGATTTGCTCAATAAATGTTGCGCATTATTAAATATAAATATACAATGTATATATCACTTTCCATACCATGTATATTATACATCAGTCAGTAAACTTAACTATTTTATATAGCCTCCAGAATTCTCTTGGACTAAGCTAAACACAAAATAATGGTTATGCTATTTGTCAATACTAAGGCGATGTTAAAGGAATAATACTCTTATGTTTTTTTAATGAATTTGAATTGTATACAGTGACTTTTTGGTCTGCATGTTTTGTTTATTTTATAATTAAATTATTTTTGCTGAAATAAAAATTCGTTGTGCAATCCGCCGCCAATGAAGTTCGCCAGACTTAATGCCACAGGCATTGTCGATATAGCTCTTCTAGTCACTTTTTTGGTCTGATTGTAGACCCAGAAATTGAAAGGTGAGACGGTTAGCACTCCCTTTGACATGGATGGAACACACAAAAATTAAAGGCAGATTTGACCACATTTTTATTGGTTAGGATGGCGGCCTGACCGCATTAAGACGCAATCGGGCCGCCACACCGGGATTGAAGGGGGGAAGGGTTTTGCCCTGGGATAGGGCCTGATTAAGCATGGTGACGATTCGGTCCTCCCAGAGCAGAGCGCACCTGAATCCCGTCAACAAAGAAAAAACAAAAAGGCCCAAAAAAATTGTAGTTACGAATCATCATCATTCAAGTGCTCACCCTTGGTAACTGGCCTCCGTCTGAAATTAAAAATTACATTTGCTTTTTAACGATTATGCCAAATACTCAAATCCACATTTATATAAAGCCATTTCTTATTTTTATTTTGAATATTAGTGGTCAAGTGTTAATTAAATGTTTTAGTAAAATTACTAACACAATATTCAATGGGCCGAGATATAAATCATTATTTTATTTACTCAAATAGCGCCAGATTACACAAGGGACGTTGGCAAGAACGCTTTCCAATAACAAGTGCCTAGAAATGAAAGCCTTTATGGGTCGTAAATAGAAAATTATAGTCTCAGACGACTGAGGTCATTTTCACTCTACATTTACGGTTAATATTATTATATCCATGATAGGATCTAACTTGTAATTAAGATTATATATTTGAAGACGTATAGTGTGGGTGTTGAAGAACTTATCTAAACGAGTAATACAATTATGATAGCTTTTCTATATATTCTCTATACTCTACATGTCATCTACACAAATAAATAAAATTGAAGTGTCTGTTTGTGATGTCTAAATAATCGTTTTCTTTCATATCTGCACGATATCTACGCCAAAAAAAATACTTTTATTTATTTACCTTAACATTTATAGGAATATTTTTTGTCTGTCTGTCAGTTTCTTTGTCCCGGGTAATCTTAAAAACGGCTGGATCGATTTTGATAATATTTTATTAAAAGGTATATAAGTAACAAACCCTATAAAATTTTGCCTGGTACGTGAATCGAACCCATTAAGACAGCGCTGTTCATATTCAACACGAACGAAGTCGCGGGCACCAGCTAGAAATATATATATAATTCTTCGGTACGTGTGTTTGTAACCTAACTATTCCTAAACGGCTTGACCGATTTGGATGAAATTTTGTGTGTATATTTCAATGAGTTCCTGGATGGTTTCAAAACGCAATTAGACCCGGCAGGTGGTGCTGCTGTCGGTTATGTCACCAAATTTGTCACCTAATAGTCTTTACCAAGTTCGCCGGATCAGCTAGTGTTTATGTACGAGTACATACATATGTATATTACTGCAATTTTTTTTCTGTAATTTTTTAGATGGTATTTTATTTCTTCTATCATCAGTAAAGTTCGCTTTTTTTTTTACGTGTGGAAACCCCTTTGGGCCGTTACCCCATCGGGGTTCTGATCCTTTCTCTGTTTTAACCAATTTGTAAAATTTGAAAATTCCTCAGTAAATAAGTCTGTCTTATGCATAAAGTGATTCCGTGTGGTGATGGATTAAGAATACATAGTGTCACCACACCTAGTCATCCCGCTGGTGTCGTAAGAATCGAATAAGGGAGCAAACTACACAGGATAACAGCACTGCAAAGAGAAGGAAACTTGTAACAAACCCTATATCATCCCGTCTGGCCAGCGTGGTATAGTAGTCCAAATCCTCATTTGTAGGTGGATGCATAAAGTGCACAAAAAAAAAGATAAAATAAAAACTTTCGTGAGATGTTCTTTATATATATAAAGTCGCAGTGCCTTACACCGGTTGCTTCATTATTTGATAATGGTCCAACGTCGGGTTCGAATGTAGTCGGGCTTCTCCGAAATACATGTTAGCATATCCGTATATCCTTGCAACTATGAATACATAGATTTTATTTTATAAATAAGGGTATTGGGCTGCAAATGATATCTTGCTATACTTGCTTACATATTACTTGCTTACATATTGCGTTGTTACCGTCGTTATCAGTCCCTAAGTGACTTCTTTTGGAACCTCTTGTTATTGACCTGGCTTTCCTGAATTCTGTTGGAATAGTGAATATGGTCCAATACAAAGTTCTACTTACAAAATTACAATAAACGGTATAGAGGAGGTGTTCCCAATTCCTTGTAAAATATTAACATAAAGTCTGGCAGTTACTGGAAGGATTCTTATTGTAGGTTAGGAAGGAGGTAGGAAGGTTGAGTTTGGTTTTGTAAAGAATTTAGGATACAAGAAGGAATATGACGCACTGTATGTTGAAGTATTCTGAATTACTTCGTTTATTTTTCTTAAATAAATTTTGTGTTGATCATAAATCTAGCAGTAAGTCAGCTCGTCTGCCCCCTCTAACATAAAAAAAGAAAGCATTGCTTTATTATAGTAACTTTACAAAGTTATCGTAAAGAGTTATAAAGACAAGATAAAATAAACAAATACCTATCCCAACATAGTGTTATCCACATAAAAAACGAGTATGTACGAGTATATCTGCTGTATAGCTCAAAATATATTTTTAGTCAAAGAATGCACTTTTGTCCAAAATATATTCGGTTTATCGTACTTTAATTGTCTAAATAATTCTTTATCTAATTATCTTGTTTATACCGACTTAGTTTGTAGTCACAAAACCATAAAATAGTAACATCTTTTTTCTTTTTTATGACTGTATACTAATGTAAGCAGAATTTTTCAGACAAACAAAACTGCTTTTGGCCATATATTTTTTATGATACTAATAAAACTAAATGAAGTGACGTTATCAAATTGGTGTAGACATATTTGTGATTTAATCTTTGATTTGCCAACCACGTCTCCAGTGTTCAGTGATAACAATCAACCAAGTCTGTAGCCGATGTCCTTCAAAGTTAATTGTAAGGAGTTATACAAAGGGCGGAACTCGCGTAAGAAGGTACTCAACGTCTGCCCGATTTATTCTTTGACGTCGAGGACGAATTTCATTTAGATCCCTAAGTTTTACATAGTTCAGTTTCATTTTTTTGTAGTAATATAAAGTAGCATAACATAAACATTGATTTCCAAGAATTTCAATGTTAGGCAATAATTTCTATAAATAATAACCTAACATTGAAATCCAAATAATTATGGTGGTGGTGGTTTATAACAGATCAACTTTGCTTACTCTTGTATGCTTTGACTACTCTTAATTCTCTTCTCATCATCATCATCATCATCATCATCAACAGCCTTTACTAGTCCACTGCTGGACATAAGCCATTCGACTATGGAATGCTGGGAATGGATTAGGATGTCCACGATCTTTTTAGGGCGAGTGTGTGTAATTATAATTATTATATATATATATATATATATATATATATATATATATATATATATATATATATAAATATATCGTTGTGTGTACGTATTTAGGCATTTAAAGCATTTCGAATATACCCAATATTCGATATTTCAGATAAAGGTAGCTTTATAACATTTGGTTTTATAATACACAACTTGATAAAAAAACTCGTAACTGTAATACTTAAAATATTTATTAATTATGATTTGGTTATTCAGCACAAAGATAGACAAAGCAGTATTTACTTTTTGTTTTCTTGTTCGGTGATCAAGTTAGTGTCGTCAAGATGATCAGTGGCATCTTCATCATTAGTGGATGATTCTGTGAATGAAGTAGAGAATAAATATTTTTCTTCTTTTTTTTTACAATAAGAGGCAACATCCCATATACATACATACCATCACATATTGATACCTACAACTCAAGACTGTTTTTCCACCATTCGTGTACCCGAATATTATAAATCTTCGATTATAATATATGTTATTTTCAAAAATTACTCATGAACATTATTCTCTAATGAATTTTAAAGGAAAGATGTTAGAAATATAGAAATAGGATAAGTTAAATAACGGTGACGAAAAGAGATTTAAAGGAAAATTATCTATTATATTATACTTCTATGGGACTCTTTTGACCAAAAATAATACTTCACTAGAAGCACTGATTGGCTATAATCTTCTATAAGATAAACCGTGGGGCAATACAGGGTAGTTAAGTAAATAACTTAGATTCTATTTCGTTTTTGGGTTGCAATTCAACTATGAGTCGTTTTCTGCCAGGTAATAATTTATATTAAATCTTTGAAATAAAATTGTATTTAACCTTTTTTACTACATTTGCAACGGCCACTGCTACAAGTGCCACCCTCGAAGTGCAGGAAACTACAGACCCGATCACAAATCTCATTGCATTTGTCATAGATGTTATCTAGAATTGAGTATTCTGGAGGCGAGAAAGATTCTGCATCCTCTACAAGTATATCTGGAAAATAATAACACTCAATCAATATCACACCTGCTGTTATTGATGTATGATGTTATTTAGGTTACTACTTTACTTTATTTACTAAACCGGAGTCACCTGACTTCGGTTTAGTAAATAAAGTGCACGTTAACTTTATGACATTTTCTTGCTTGGCCGACAGCAAATATACCCAAGAACGTGACGTGAAGTGACGCCCGATCTTTGGGTGTCACATCATGATCGCCTATCAACCGGGCTTTAGATTTGAAACTCACTATAACAGTAAAATGGGCCACACTGCAATAGTGATTACTTTATTCACAAGTACGGCTTAAATCTTTTACTATAACTTTCCCAGAATTCTTACAATTAATTCTAAGTATGATGTGCAAATATTTTAATTCTAGCAAATAAAATAAATATTTTATATGAAAACCTAATTAAACAATTGTCCATCCGTGCAGTCATTTAGGCAATTAAGGCACAAAAATATCCCATTAAGAAATAAAATTACTATTCACCTTTAGCTTCTCTTTTCATAACCAGATCAGTATCGACATTATCAGTATTTCCAGCATCAGCAGTTCCTGATGAAAATAATTAAAATATAGCAACAATATATTATCTAGCAAGGAAAACGAAATTGCAAGCAAACTTTTTTGAAGAATATTTGATAATACTCGTAAGATTCATTTAGAACTTTTTACTTATTATTTAGGGCCATAAACTTATTTAATTGCGCTAAAGCATTACGTTTTACTTATAAGCTCTTTGGGTGGAGTTTTGTGTTGTAATTGGTTTGTGGAAATTTAAGCACTCTTTGCTGACACGAGATAAAGATTCATTTTTAAATAATACATGCTATTTTCTTCAAAGAATTTAGAGAGAGTTAACTTTGAATTGACGGGCCTGTAGGTCCAGTGGTTAGTGATCTTGACTACTAGGCCGGAGATCATTGATTCGTTTCCCACCCAAGACAAATAATTGTGCGATGAGCATGAACATTTGTTCAGAGTCTAAGTATAATCTATACAAATAAATAAAATTGAAGTGTATGTTTGTAATGTGAAAAAAATAGGTTTTATTGACACCATTTTTTTTAACCTGGTTTTTAGGCATAGATAATCATCTATGCCTAAAAACCAGTTTAAATATTTTGTCTGTCTGTCTGTCTGTCTGTTTGTTCCAGGTAATCTTCAAAACGGTTTGACCGATTTTGATAATATTTTACTACTAGATAGCTAACTAGGAGTAACTTAGGCTATTTTGGCTCTCAGAAAAACCATATAAAATTTTGCCCGGTCCGGGCATCGAACTACTAAGGCAGCGCTTTTCAAATTCCAAGCGAACGAAGTCGCGGGTACCAGCTTGTTTATAATATATATGCATTTAAAAATTATATAAGTATCTCATTACCAGGCCCTACCTAGTTTGGAGTCAGACTGCCGTATATGAGCTGTGTAAAAAAAAAACATCACCTTTCTGGTTTTGTTATAAATACGAAATGATATGATTATAAATTCAAGCCATACACATACACTCATTATACATTGTAAAATGTAAGTTAAAAATATAAATTGAGACCTTGTTTGGGATTACACTTGCATCGGCCATCTAAACAGGCCCCGCCATCAAAGCCCACGAGGTCGCAGAATTGGCCGCATATTTTGTCCGTGCATCGAGGAGGCATCATGTAACGTGAATGGCCCAAAGTGTTATCTGCTTTTGCCGCAACAGTATCTGCGAATATTCTAACATTATTAATATATACAGTAAAATTACTTGCCCTGACTGATTGCTTCCTCATCACAGAGCCTAAACCGCCTGGGCTGCAAACTTGATATTCTAGCAGCTGTTGATTTTTATATTGTAAGCACGCACTAAGAAAATATTTTTGAAAATTTCACTCCTAAGGGAATAAAAAAAAGCCGTGTGGTGTCGTGGGACACCCGATAGGAACGAAGTTGTTACGATCGAGTAAAACTGATTAGACACGATTTTAATTACAACGCCATCTATGAAAGCGGCTATTACATATTTTTCAGTTGGTTTTTAAATTAAACAATTTATACATTGGTAAAATCTCCTTGAGAAATGATGTCGAATACAATATTTTTTGCTCAACCTAAGAACATAAATTTTAATTTTACTATTCGATAGATGGCGCTGAATGACTGACAAGTGACAATTCAAAATAAAAAGTGTCGTGACCAATTTTCGTAAGAATTTTTTCCGTCTAGCCCCCTTTCACAACGCGCGATAAGGAACTTCGTTCCAACTGGGTCTGTGCGTCACGGATCAAGTATACGGCATGTCACCACCCCTATTCATCCCATGGGTGCCGTAAGAGCCGACTAAGGGAGCAAACTACGAAGGACAACAGCACTTGAAAGAGAAGGAAAACTTGAAACAAACCCTATACCAACCCGTCTGGCCAGCGTGGTATAGTAGGCCAAAACCTCTTTTCTAAGGAGAGACCTATGTCCAGCAGTGGACTATTATAGGCTGTTGATGTGATCTGTGTAGGAAATAAAATAAGAAATGAACGGTTGAATCGGAGTGCATCATTTTCAAAGTTAGAAGTGATGGAGACATGGTCAAAGAAGGAAAACACTCACGCCAGGGAAGAAACGGGCAATAGTTAGTCAATGTATAAAACCGATGGACTTTGTTATTGGACTTGGGGTTATTTTAATTATTTTCTTACTTTAAATGTTAGTTTTGGATTGATAAAAAGAATGAAGAAGAACTCTCGGTTCTTCTCTCTTGAAGGTTTGGGTTTGGTACATGAGGTATTACATCAATAAAATTACTTATATTTTAAGTAATGAACTACAATGTAAAATCCTTTATGTAATCTAAGGACAATAACGATTTTTGATGAAATATTTTTCACCAAGCAGAAAATAAAGAGTTTATTTAATACGTGAAGATAATAATTACTTTAAAATGTTCCTAAAACAGGATTAATAATAAAAGTTAGACGATTGCTTGTTTAAATTTATTTAAAGCAATTTGTTTGCTAACTCTAAAAACTGTTTATTAAACATTAAAAAAATCGAACGTATCTTAAATGTTTCTGCAGGAGTATGGAATATTCCCTTTGTCGCGTAGTTGTCGCATTAAAAAACATCAACAGTACTTTATCTTTATAGGTCAAACAACATTTCGTATTCAGTATATATCTACCAAGTATTACTCAACTCTTTATCACCTAAGCATATCATTTTATTATCTTTATAAACCTTATTAATTATTTATTGCAGTTATTAAATGATTATTACAAGATAGCTCATATGTGTCAATCGATGTTTTCGATTGCTAATAATTTCCGCTGTTACTAATTGTTATTATCAAAACAATATCTTTATCGGCGAAATCAAAATATAAAATAAATGTAATAAGAAATAAGGTTCTGATTTATATTCTGTATTAACAAAGAAATAAACGGAGATTACCGTTGGCAAAGTCTAGTATGTTTGCAAACTTCCTTTAACATTGTACATCTCGTGTTCTATTTTCAGTGACAAAAATTGTATTACATTAAGTCTATATGTTGTTTTGAACCATGTTCCCAGATGTGCTTTTAAAGCGAATTTCCTCCTAAAATCCCTCACAAAGCGAGCGGGGGAGGGGGGGGGGGGGGCTAGGATTTGTGTTTTAGTCGAAAGCCGGTCCTCTGTTCTTTCAGATCATGTTTAACGAAAAGTGCGCTGAAAATACCCCTTGAGATTTCTTTGATATTACCTCGGCTATTCGAAACGATAGGGACAGGTGGCGCAATACCTTAAAAATACTATAAAATATTTTCCAATCGGGTACAGATCTGGGTGACTATAGTAAACCGAAATCCCGAAAGAAAAAAAACAAACGCGACAAGTTGGTAATGGTTACTGCAAATGAAAGCTGCTTTGTTAGCATTGTCCAATATCGTGATTCAATCGTTTTCACAGAATTATGCGCAGTATAATTTATACGAAATTATACGGTAGGTAGGAAACATTTGCTTAAATTATCTCCACACATTTTGCTTCCGTGACGTGACTCTGCTGGTGACGGATTGAGAATACGGAGTGTCACTAACCCTATTCATCCCGTGGGTATCGTAAGAGCCTACTAAGAATGCAAACTACGCAGGATACTACCACTGCAAAGAGAAGGAAAACTTGAAACAAACCCTATACCGACTCATCTGGCCAGAGTGGTATGCCAATGGGCTGCCAGGCCAAAACCTCCTTTCCAACGAGAATCCTATGTCCAGCATTGGACTACCAACGGCTGTTTATGATGATAAAAATTTCCATACAACTGTGTTGACTTGAGGCGACAAGAAAATTTGAAGCAAATAAGGTTGCAACACCTTAAAAACTAATTGCAGTTTTAAAACATTGTGTTTTAACTCAAATTAACATAGGTATATTCTATTACAAAAATAAGCATTTAGTCTAAATTTTATTTAAAAACACTACTTACCATCATTCGCTTTGATCATAACAGCTGACGCGTTGACGACATATAAAGTCGAAATAAATAATATAATGTTCAAATACATTTTAGTTAGTTCAAATCTGCGAAAGGAATGAGAAAAGTTAACGAGACTATTCTGTATTTCTTGTGCAGCCTTTTTTATACGTGAAAGATTTCGAAATTGGGACTTCACTATCATTAATTACCTAAGTTTATTAAAGAGCTGTTGATTTTTGATAATATCTTGTAGACATACAATTATCTTAAGATAATTTCAAAGATTGCTAAACGTTAGACTTGAAAATGACTAATGTTATAAGTACACAATTGTTGTTATTGCACAATTTAGGGTCATAATGTGCGCTGTTTTAATAATACCTTTTATATCTTCATACATTTTCTTTAAATAGTATTATATTTCTTAAAAGGAAAGATAAGAAAATTTTACTAAAATATCTCCTGCCGAATAAGTGTTAGTTTGCTAATGTGACGTGGTTTGGGATAATGATGCACATCCCGTATTTATATTAGAATCAGAGCATTTAAATTAAACTTAATCAAACCTATTCATCACACTTTTTTTAAATAACTATTAATACTAAAGATATAAACTTCACTAGGTCCTAGGTTGCGAAATTTTGTGGTATCTGTCAATTTTTATACGATATTGGTGCTAATTCTCACTAAAAATATATTAAGTCCTGTCAAATACTACGTTTTCAGAATAGGAAACGTTGTTTGACAGAACTAAGCAATTTTTTTTGTCATTTTTAGTTTAGTTTAGAGAGTTTTCGAACAAAAGAATTAGCACAACTATCTAAATATCTCTCTAAATGTTTGTATCGGTAGCTTATCTTCTAATCTTCTAATATTCTCTTCTATACCATCTGTCACACTATCACTTCTACCTTGACCTATCCAATGCTTGTTTTACTTATTTGATGTCTCAAAATCTTCGTAAATGCCCACAAGTTATGCCTTATTATTATGTAACTGTATTACACATTTACTCTCGAATCGTATCCAACTGAGTTGTGTATTTACTCTGTTCGATACTAACTCATTTCAATTATTTTAGTTAACAAAATATTTTTCAACTTAATCTTACAAAAACATACACAACACTAAATTACGATGATTAATTTATATACTATTCTTTGTTATATTTGCAATTCACTGGAAAGTTTATTACTTTGTTTTTAAGAAGATACACATTTGGCCACTATAATTACGTTTCACTCGCGAAAAAAGCACTAAGTGTATTGCCGTCAACCGCGATCTTGGAGAGTTAAAGATATATTGTAAGAGAAAGGTAAGTGGAAGCGAAGGGAAAGTGAAAGGTTATGCTTATACACACCCACTTCCCATAGGCATGGATGGTGGGAGTGTAAGCTATCAATATACAGTATGAGTCGATCAGGTTTGCATACTTCGTTATTTGAAGTTTATTATTGAAATTATCTTTGGAATAAGCTTCCTTCGAGGGTTTCTATCCCTCGGACAACGTTTTTTTTTATAATTGAAAAGTACTTGTATAATATGTACCTACCCCCTTTGCCGACGTTGTGCTAAAAATTTCGTTAATTAATAATATAAAATTCTACTACATTTACACAACGCCATCTAGTCCCACTATAAGCAGAGTTTGTACTATGTGTACCAGACAACTGATATAAATACATACATACCTTTTTTTGTAAATACATAGGTATATATACTATATAAGTAACAAATTAATATGAACTGTATGTTTGACCGTTAATTCTTAATCAGACGTGTATTACGAATACAAAACTATGTCAATGTACAAAACAAGTTACTAAAACTGGTTGCAGTAATCGAAGACTATCTTCTTAAACCATCGATGAATGATTTACTTAAAGAAGTGCGGGTAAACATGCACTTTATCGTGTAGACTTTGCTATCAACGAATCGTACTTCAAGCATTATAATGGCTAATAGTTGTTCAAAACTTTGATCAAATACGAATCCAGCATTCGTTTTCGATAGGCTCATCAATCGGTAATTATATCTTGAAATGAGTAAAACGATTAATCAGCATGAACTTTTGACCTTTTGATCCTGACTGATAAGTCAGAGGTCGTGGGTTTGATTCCCACTGACGACAAATAGTAAAATTGTGGGATGAGCATTTTTTGTTCTATGCGATAAATTACACATTTATCTCTAATAGATGGTAGGTGCATATTTAGAAATACTTAAGTATGTTTATCAGCAGTCTGATTACCATTACACAGGCACTATCTAATTTAGAATCAGACAGCCGGCCGTGTGTGAGATGTCTGCAGTTTTTTTTATTAGTTGGGTTCACCATGAGTTCTTTATAGTTCTTAGTATCTTTTATTTTCAAGTCGTCAAAAAGAACGATGTCCCGAAACAAACTTAAGAGGTAAAACTGTTCAAAGATTTTAAACAGAAATTTATGGATTGATAAAAGATATATATTTTAATTTGGAAGAAGAAAATAAAATAAAAAACGTTTATCTTAATTTATATTTATTATATAAAGGTGTATTTTTATATTTTTGTCATTTTCTTTCGTTATTCTTTTACATAATACAAATTAAATAAAAAAAAATAGAAAGATGTAATATTAAAAATAACTATGTACTAAAACATTACGAATATTATTATACAGCGATAGGCATGTGTGAAAAAATATTTAATCCTTCTAATCGCATTTGCAGCGGCTATTGACACAGGATCCGTAATCATAACCCAAAAAGTGACATAAATGGTCGCATAAAGTTCTGGTTTGCATTAATGTTGATTTAAAGAATTTGCAGAATAATAGCCACTGACTTTGCTGTCCATAACTGTATCTGCAAAACACAGTTATAAAATTAGAATCAATCATTTTATTTCGACAATCGGCTGTCACCTTTTGTTAAGCAGATAAATATGTAATTACCTTCTGCAATTCTGTTTAAGGTCAGATCATCATTTTCATCATCATTATTCAAGGTGTCTTCAGCAGAAAATCCTTTTACTAAGAGATGTAATGTAGAATTATTAACATTCATTTAACATATTTATACACTTAATATATCAGCTAATTGAAAAAATTAAAAAAACTAGTTTAGTAGAAGACTACCCTTTTACAAAAAGGCAAAAGTATGGTAAAAATGTGTGATTAGTCTACCACCCAGCCATGTCAGTGCCTTGTCATCTGTACTTCCATGTTTATATTATAAATGTGACAGTGAGTTTATTTGTTTGTTTGTTACGCTTTCACGCTTAAACAACTAAACTGATTAAAAATTCTTTCAGCAATGAAAAGTTACATTATCAGCCAGAACATAAGCTACTTTTTACAGTGATAACTGACATACTGATTACGCGGCCATAGCTAAAACCGTACCAGTAGCCGGGGAACCAAGAAAGCCCTGGAACCCCGACATACCCCGGACCATTCACGGCATGTAGATCACCCCTCGTGTGTGGGAACCACGGTGTTCTCGTTCTGTAAACAAACCGGCCTGCTTCTGCTAGGGTGACAGATGTCCTCACCCGGCACCCCCAGGCCTGCGGCTATGGAGGACGAAGAGCCCTTGCGGTTCTGTAGCAGTGGCGTAAGGAGGCGCGGGAGTTGGGTCTAAGTCCTGAGACTCGAGAAATCGAGGATCAGAAATCGAGGATCGGAAAATAGCTAGTTACATAACTAGCTTAATATTTTTTGAATTTATTCATGTACGTCGGGCGCGAACTTTAGTTTGTAAATGATTACCTTCTAAATTTGGATAGCTGTAGCAATGGCAGCGTCCGTCGATACAAAACCCTCCAGCGAAATGACGTGCATAACAGCTCTTATCACATTCTTGGGCATAACATCTTTTCAATGAAAGGAATTCTACAAAAATAGAAGCAAATTCTAGGAAATAAATAAATTATAAAAAATGCATCATTAGAATTTTAAAGGGTATGAATAGTACATTATAAATAGTACGTAAATACCTTTCCAATCTTGAAAATTATCGCATTTGCAACGGCCATTTACACAGACACCTCCAGTTAATTGAAACCTCGAACAACTTTGATCACATGCCTTGTTGTTACAACTATGTACTGATACATTGTCTACAGAATTAGTCAGGCTCGCCATATCGTCTGTAATATATTTTCATAGGTATTAACTGTTATATGTAAAAGTAACACACTCGATGGCTAAATTACCAAGGTATTTTTATGTTCACGCCGATCAAGATAGAAACATGCACAAAAAATTCACTTACATTTGACAAAGAATTCAACTCATTCCATTTAGTTTTGGGGACCTACATACAAGAAAAAGTACTTCAATGTCATCAAATGACGACATACAAAATTATTGAGTAACTGTTAATACTGCATCTCACAATTCATTGCGATTGTCGATTAGTTTACAATAAAAATCATTGCCATCAGCCACGTTCATCTCGACTGGCTACCGATCAGTACTTAACTTATTCCTGTACATAGTAAATAATATACAATTTGTGCACTTAATTATTAAGATAATATGTGGACTCGCATAGATATATTAATTATTAATATATCTATGCGAGTAGAAATCATAATTAATTGTCAAATGATATTATCAAGTATTAACTTGATAATATCATTTAACAATTAATTATGATTTATATTTACTAGAATTCCAGAGTAGTACAAGTACTAACAAAGACTGGAATAAGACGGGTAAACATGGCTAGCTGAGAAGCAGTTTATTAATTAAAAATTCGTACACAATTATTCATTATTCAAACAAATTTAGGAGTCATACAGACAATAGATTTGAAAGTTTTTCCCAAAAGAAGTAGGGTCTTTTCTTTAAATAAATATGTGCATAAGAGCGTCTTATTAATTTATCTAAGTAAATAATTTATTAAAACGAAACATATCATCCAATCATCGATGTGACAAAGTGTGACAAACGCTGTTTACACCGTTGACGTGACCATCGCATCATGTTATTTAACACTTTATTTTAAATTTAAAACAAAAATAAATACATACCCACATAGGCTTTTATTGTCACCACCAACCCATTGACGGCACAGAAAATGGCAATAAAAAATATAATTTTCAGACACATCTTCACTCCGAACTTAACAACAACACAGAAACAACTAAAATGGTTACATTACGCTTGTTGACCTCTGTATAAGTACATGGACTTCACAATGAATCATACGTGATCGGACCCATCAGAAGTTATGTTTGAATAAAATGTTGTTGACTTTGATAAATATGTATATTAATTCAAACACAACTCTTATTCTTTGTATGTAGTTCACAATAAACTTCATACAAAGAACGTTAGCTATTACGATTCTTGGAAATCTAAGAAATAAGGATATGTTTATGCGCTAATTGCGATTATTATTTTTTCACTTTAATCTTTTTTTGTCTGTAAAATAAGAGACATGTGTCATATACATGGATAATGTATAACAAATGCGTAACTTTTTATTTTATTGGCAATACTGAAAGTAGAATGGCCATTCATGGTTTCAGTATTAGACGTTCAGGTCATTACTTCAAATGTTTTTTTTTTATGTAACTGTTTAACCCTGAATTTCTTTTATAGAACTTAAGGTTTGAAATTAAATCTCAAGAGGACTAAATCTTGTATCAATGTCCGTGTCCATTTTAAGTTAAAAGTTGCCATTGTATAAAACAAACCATTAATGGTTGAATGCAAATAAAAATCGTTTTAAAATAAAATGGTTAAATATAATACTTAATATACTTGATAATAATTATCAAAAATAAATATATTGCACTTTATTAATCCTATTATTTCGTAATGTATGGTTCAGTGTTAGTTTTGCCTTAAACACGGTATCCCTGTCAAAAACACGTTGCCAGTCACAAACATTATAAATAGGAACTCCAACGTCAGTGTCACAATATTTTCTAGTTGTTAATATTTTGACATTTAATTTCTCAATAACCACAAGTTCTGTTACAATATACGTTAATATTTCAGATAATACTCAATGCAGTTTATACAAATCTGACATGGTAAAAAAAGTGAGAAACTGATTTTCGTACTAAAATGGGCATTCTACTTTGTAAATTTCTATTGATAAATTATGTACTTTAGCTGCAGTTTTGTCAACGTGCAAGTCACACGTTTTACTTGCTACAATTTCTTTTTTGCATTTTTTCTTATGTAACTGAATGTGTCATTTGTGTTTTTGCAACTGAAATCAATAGTTTAGTAAAATTTGTGCATATTGCATATTGGAATTTACATGGTTAAATAAATGAAAAAAACCGTTCTACTGTCTGATCTCTTATATTTCATAAGAAACGAACACATATATTATGTACATGAGTTTAAGTTGTCTGACAATAGTAATGTCAATATTGTGTAAAATTAACAATATCAACAATGATAAAAATATCAATAAATACATACATGTCGAATTCAAAGTTTACGATTATGTTTTCTAGTCTAAAGTGCGGCTGCGGAGTAGAACATGAATTCTGAAAAACATTCTTATCAGCTAGACACTTATACACTAATAACATGCTCGTTTAGATAGTGTGCGTGTATTAGAACGTTTTGAATTTATTCTCATTGAGTCAATATCATATTGTTAAGTTAGCATAAGATGAAAAAGTTTTTATAAAAAGGTTTTTACCCTTTTTCTGAAAGTAACTCAGTACTGAATTAAGCTAGCCTTTGTTCACCCTTGCATTTCTTTTAGGATTCAGAGAATCTTTTTATCTATTAATTATTACTTTTTAAAGTGTCTTTGATATTTCGTTCAAATTTTACGCAGTAAAAGTGCTTAAACTTTTTAACAAGTATTATTAATATATGCTTTCAATTATTTTCACTAACGCGGTGACAACTCAAAGAGCGGCTAGTTATGCGTTTCGTCATAAATTTACTACGCATTAAGAAATAATCACCAAATTACACTTTTTATAGATATACTTAATAAACAAGGAGTTCGCAGGTTTATAAAGTACTTATCTGTTTTGATAAAACTTTACTGATTTGGCGTTTTTATTGAATGTATAAACAACATACGTTTTGTTATCTAGACATATTAAAAGTAAAAAATCAAGACCGATAAGTGGGGTTAGTTGTTATTACGGTTTTTGAGAGGCTGATAACAATCGAACGATGTGATTAGCTGTCTAGACTTTAATTGGACAATCAGGCCCACCGCTAGCTGTTTGATTTGAATGCCCCCTTCATATACCCCCCATTTGACTACGGGTCGGCACGGGCACGGACTACGTGTGTGTGTGTGTGTGTACGGCTAAAACCGCATACCGTCTACCAGTAACCGGGGTATCAGGTATAACCTAAATTACTTAGAAACATAGCTAGTTTATAAACATTATATTTTAGTTGTTACAAAGTTAGCAAATGTCTTAATGATAATATAAGGAATATAATAATATAGAGGTGGCACTATATGAATCAGGGAAGTGGACCCACAAAAATTATTATCGTCCATAAGGACAAATGTATAATTGATAACTAGTACTAGTCGGCCACTGGGACTGTAACGTACACAGAGACAGGTCAATACTACAGTATAGTTATTGTTAGAAAAAATGAACAACTGATTTTTATTCGTAATGTATTTATTCAGTATAAATTGTACCCATATATATTTTTTTAATTATTATTATTATAATAACAATTGTTATTTGTTTCCTCCAAAAAATCCTTCGTGTAAGCAAGTAAATTAAAAAGTTCGATCTTTTATTTTACTCCTCAGTGATCAAATTAGGGTTTTCAACTTCTTCATCGACCATTAAACCAGCTTGGTCCAGCATAGAAAGCGCTAAAAATAAATGTAAAAAAACATTACCCTGGTATTTATATACCCTGGTATTTACATACATAAAGAAAAAAAAAATATATAAGAAAATTGTGACAGCATTTCTTTTGTAAATTTCAAAAATAGAAAACGATCACAAATACTATTACAAAAATTTAAAACATCGTAAACAATGATAGAGTTAATTAGCTACTTAATCCTTAACGTTACTTATATAAAAAAACCTAAAAAAAAATCGTATTTAAAAATTCATTTTATTTACTATAAAAAATAAAAAAGCAACATTGAAGTCAAGTGAATTATGATGCGGTTAAGAAGAACCTGTATTACCTCTTGGTAAGCATCTGCATCGCTTTTTTACACATTTGCCTCTTAAGTTCACGATGCGACACACACGGTTGCAAATATTTGAATTACATATGCGTATTCTTTCTTCGCTAGGTGACTCTGAAGAATCCAGTTTTAGTCCTGCAATGCCCATGGGAGATTCTGCAACATAATGTGATTTAAAAAATCTATAATTATTCTATAATCCCTTAAAAACTAAAACGAAAATAAATAATCACCTTCAACAACTTCATTGAAATTCAAGCCGAAATTTTCAGATTCATCATTGACAGTATCTGCAGTTATAGACAAACCTTTAAGTAAAATCATGAAACATAAGAAAACAATAAACAAAATTGTTATAAGTTTATACGTATAGTTACAGCCATTTTCATTGAAACTAGCAAATGGGTCAGATGGTACGTACTATATAAGTTTTGAGATGCTCGAAATTCGTTTTTTTTTCATAAAAGGGGGGGGGGGGCAAATGAGCAGACGGGTCATCTGATGGAAAGCGATTTTTAGATTGTTTAACGAATTTTAAAGGGGGAAAACTAGCCTTGAAGATGATTACAAGCAAATTTACTGAATCCTGTTTTATTCCTGCACCTCTCATAAAAGAGTCTGCAACATAATGTGATTTACAAATCTGTTGGAAGTTTTCAATCAACCGGTTAACTAGAAATCAGTTAAAACTATTTCCAAAAACAACTTAACTTCAATATAAAGTTAAAAAAAAACTTAAATAAATATCACCTTCAACATCCTCATTTAAATTCAGATCAAAATTGCCAGGTTCACCATTGACAGAATCAGCAGAAATGGATAATCCTTTAAGTAAAAACATGAAAAATAATAAAATATTTAAATGTAAAATTATGTATATGCAATTTTACATATAATTTCAAACACGAGATGACATTTGACTTCAAAAACATGTAGTTGATGAATGTTATCGATTCAATTTAAAAATTCTTAATAATACAAAAACCAATTTTACCACAATATTATCTTACCATCGGCATCATATATTGTATTCACAGACGCGTTGACGATGCATAAAGTGGCAATAAAGAATAAAATGTTCGAAATCATTTTTTTTTCAGGCCTTCTGATTGTACGGCAAAAGCTACAATAACTACTTCACATTTCTTGATCGACTATTTTATAGTCATATCGTTCATAGAAAAGGGGTTTCACAGGATTAAAAAGGAAGCTATCTGATTTGATAAGATGTCCTTGACATACAATCATAAAAAGATAATCCAATGCATATGGTAAAAAGAACAAAGAAAGACAATAGTTTTAGATGTTATTACTAGACTTGCAACGAATAGTATATTCGGCAGTATACCGAATACCGAATATTCGGCGAGGCCCCTGACCGAATAGCCGAATATTAGGCAAAAGTATTCGGCTGGATTTTAGCGCCAAAAACTTGTACAGACGTGAATTAAATTATTAAATTATGTACCAATGACTACTTAATAAATGATTATAAAAGAAATGAGAACCTTACCCTTCTAAATTTTGATTACCACAATAATTCAAATACATAGAATCCTCCATTTTTCCTATTCAGAAGATGATTATGTACATAAATATGATTATGTACTTAAATGATTATAACAGAAATGAAAATATGAATATATACGTAATCAATCGATTTTAATTTTTCATTTTACCAATTATTTCTCAATGACAATATATATTATTTAAGTATTCGGTATTCGGCCGAATAATATGTAGATATTCGGTATTCGGCCGAATATAATAAAAGCAGCCGAATAGGCCGAATACCGAATAGTAACCGAATATTCGTTGCAAGTCTAGTTATTACGGTTTTTGAAAGGCTATAACTGGATAAAGTTAAATGTAACATATACATCATGGTTTTTGTAAAAAGTAATGTTTTCATATATGATATTAACACTTAAAACAACAGCACTGTAAATGTTAATTAGATAACCGGTAATTTTGAGGTTTTTAACCGTCATTAAAATACCTAATCACCAGTAAGTCATCTCTATTAGTTCTGTTTGAATTAAATAAGAAGCAAGGCAACATTCTCTTTAAGAGCACACTAACAAAAGACCTGTGCCTGAAACGAGACGAAGGTATGATATTCAAATACATAAATTCAAAACATTTTGTGTCTTCTTGCAGTCTTTTCATAACAAATCGTGTGTTCGTCGTATTTCTAAGGCCTTAAAAACCATTTACATATTTATTTGAGGGTAGATTTGACCCAACTCAACCTCGCTAGCTTGTAGGCCCGGTTGCTTAGAAAAAAATGCTTATTTTGGTGCTATTCTCATTTTGACAACCTTTTATTTAACTTTCTTTGTTGGGTTGAATCTTGCAACTTTAATATTTTTTTACTTTCTTTTCAAGCTTCAGATGAAACAATGGGCTAAATCTGGAATCCATGTATTTACTCCTTCGATACATTGCAATGATATGGTATCAAAGACTTAGTCATATATTTTTTCCGAGACGTGGTCAAGAAATTACTCATCTACGAAACGTAACGGCATCTGGATAGAAATATTTTGATTACTTTCTTTAGTGTTTGTGGCAATTAGGATCGTGTACTATAATTTTGTTTGATTTTCAATCTGGTATAAATTATTGACGTATAAAAGTTGACAAACGGATTAAACTTCATGCGATACCCGATTTCATATGAACAATTAGTTTCTATGTTGTAAAATGAGTTTTGTTTTTATTTTCAAACTTTCTAGGAAGAAAATATTTAAAGAGGAACCTACCTTCGCGTTTTTAAATTAGCGACACGTAGGCAGATAGCTGATTTAGAGCTATACATGATATTAAGTTCTTTTTAAATATGGTTTGTAACATCTGAATTTACATGTGTTTTACAAAATAAATGATTGATTGATTGATTGAGTAAATTCATGAAACAGCAAGACCAATGTCTTCGACGGGTCTAGTTCAGTCACTACAAAGATAGTCGCTATATCGAAAACGTTCCATCGACAGGTTACTGTGGCGAGAGTACGCCATATCGATGGTACGTTACATCGACAGGACACCATATCGACGGTAGTTGCATCGACATGACATCATATCTATGGTACGCTGCAGGGATAGTTCACCATATCGATAGTCGCTGCATCGACAGTCCAATTTAAGCTAAACCCAAATACTTAAAGGATTTAATATATATACATAAGTATATGAACAAAAGTCTTTAAAGGCCAAGTTTTTAAATAATTGCAAAGTATTTTAATTACATCTCTAATCACAACTAAAATGTGGAACATAAGTATGGAAAACTTCCGAAGTTTTCCATACTTATGTTCGCGTTTCTATTTTTTGTTTTTAGATTATGCAAAACATTAGTAATTTTAAATTACTAGCTTTTAACTTACACACTACATTAACTAAATTGTAAATCAGCTATCTTATATAAGATTTTTTATACTATCCTCATAAGTTAATGATTAAACTGTTTTGATTATTTTACGTCTTGCTGTTCACCACGAAAATGGTCGGTAAATACCGACCATTTTCGTTGTGAACAGCAAGACGTATTGTTATCGTATTGTTATTGAATGATTTGAAAACTGTAAAAATGTAATTTCTATGGGTATTTACCTGAAATAAATGATTATTATTATTATTAAAATATCTACAACGCATAACGATACAAAATAATAATGTTGATGATAATAAATGGTTACAAAATGGTGAAGAACAAAGTAAACGATAAAGGTGTGCACTAGTGGTATTGCGTGAACAAATACGCCAGTGCAAAGTATCGTAGTACTTGAAGCAGTGTCAGTATTTGTGATACCAATCACGTGTTAAAAATAGTATGACAACTCATAATCATGTCACACAGCCTAGTGAGTAAAAATATTAATTTGAGTAATAGAATGCTTTTAAGTTAATGCTTCCTTGCTTTTAAGGGTATTATAGAAACATGAATTAACTTTGTTTTTCATAATCAATTATTAAAATGTGTCTATATATTCACACCCATTATTGATGAGTTGCACCTAAGAGAAAACTTAAAACGAGATTCAAATATAAATATAATGGAAAAATCATGTCAAAATATTGAAGCGTAATCTAGAGAGTATCAACATATAGTTCTTGTATGCTAATAAAAATTCATTAAGACAGGTGATAAAACAATCTCGAGTTAAAAACAATCAACAAGAACCAGAATCTATAGATGACATTAAAGTACAAAATGAAGATTTTGGATGAATTTTTAGATAATGAAAATGGTCGTGTGCTAATCTTTTGCACTAAAAAGAATATGCAGCTTATGAAAGAGTCCGCAATTTGGATAATGGATGGCACTTTTCAATGTTGCCCATTACTATTTGCACATCTATATTCGATCCATGGTATCGATGGTCCAGAGTATTAAACTAAAATAGTCCCTCTTGCATATGCATTTCTACCGAGTAAAACTCAAGAGTGCTACACTCATTTCCTTCAACAACTCAAATGCTACTCAGAACTTTTGGCCCCGGAATTGGTACTGACAGATTTTGAAGTTGCTGTCATGAACTCTGTTAGGGCGGTGTTTATTGTCTTTTTCATTTAGGACACAACGTTTGGCAAGGGTACACCAAAATGGTTTACAAAAGAAATATGGATTTTGAAGATGCAGAATTTGCTCTTAATATACGCCATTTGATTGGCTTGGCATACTTGCCGTCATTTGAAATTTCAAATGCTTTTGATTTGTTGAAAGAAAATATTCTTCCTAAGGAGAGCAGCACTGAAAATATTATACAATTAATAAGACTTCACGTAAAAGCAATGAAAACAAAATAACGATATACACCACGATACGATTTATTTACCATATACGATTTATGGTCTGTTCACTTTTACAACGAACATAGTTTGCCTAGGACCCAAAATTCTGCGGAGGCGAGGCATATGCGAAGGATTTCTTTACTCGATAATGTAAACCTGGTGTGTACGCTACTATCAAAGAACTTAGAAAGGAGCAGAAAGCCATGAACATTGAAATTAAGCAGGCGGAAGCCGGAACACAAGTTCCTTTCCCGAAAAAGAAAATTTGAGACGGTTAGACTGTTATCTCTCTTTTCATTGAATCAAGAGGCAATATGACTGTCCTGAAATTCCTCAAAGGGATTGTAATACATATCTTTAATTTCATTACATAACAGAATTAACAAGGTCCTGAGTAGAGCCATTTTTTTTGTATTTTATGGTATTGTATTACTGAGATTGTATTTAATTTTATATTTATGTATATTTATAAGAGGCAGACCAAAGAAAAGGGGGATGGACTGCGTGAGGGAGGATATGGCTAGGAAGGGAGTAAACAGTGAGATGACGCATGACAGATTAGAATGGAAAAATCATACATACTGCGCCGACCCCAAATAAAATTGGGAAAAGGGTAGGCAGATGATGATGATTTATGTATAGTTTTTAATCTGAAGTTTATCGTTATTCGGATAGTTTTTGGATTTATTTTAATATTCTTATCAATATTATGGTTATTTTGAAAGTTATTGTAAAAATAACTAAATATAATTAACAGTATACTTATTTAAGCTATACAAAAAATTCTTTAAGGATTTTTTGTATAGCTTAAATCGGGCTGTCGATACAGCGACCATCGATATGGTGAACTATCCCTGCAGCGTACCATCGATATGGTGTCGTGTCGATGTAACTACCGTCGATATGGTGTCCTATCGATGCAACGTACCGTCGACATGGTGTCCTGTCGATGTAACGCCACGATGGTATGGCGTACCCTCGTTACAGTAACCTGTCGATGGAACGTTTTCGATATAGCAACGATCGATGTAGTGATTGGCGATATTATGAACTAGACCCGTTAAAACAGTGAGGTGCACGGCAAAACATTAAATTACTAATCTATAAATATGCGTATCTATATCTTTAGCTAAAAGCGGGTAAAAGAAGGACGTTGTCATACTTCTGGCGTGTTAAATGCAACGTGAGAAGATTCGACGTAATTGACATAAGACAAAAATGAAAAATACCGGGGAATATGTTGCATTAAAGTGCAATGCAAATTTGTTTTGCAGTTGAAATAGTAGGTTTTA